AGTTCTGCAATAGGGGTGTCATCAGCAGTAATTGGGAAAGTTGCATATCTTGTGATCCCAGGAATAATGGTGGGTAATTGTTTATGTCTGCACCTTAGCAGAATTCAGTCTCCTCTTATCCTCTTGGCCTGGTGGTCTCTCCTTAGCTTTACAAAAGCAGTTGAGTTATGATGAAAGACTATTATCATTTAAGCTATAAACTAAATGCCTCCCAAAGTTAGCTTGACTGAAGCCCAGGATTAATTAAAAGCAGCTTGAAGGCTAAAGGCAAAAGGGAGGTTGGCCAGATCAGATCTCCAGTCCCCCACCACGTTGCCATAATTTTCTCACTGATATATTTTTCGCAAAGGAAGTTTCAGTTGGGAGAAATAAATGGTAACTTATTTCAGTAAATGATGTGATTGTTTTTACCCAGATTACAAATCATCCCTGTACCACTTATCGAATAATCCTTCCCTTTCCCATTGAATTGTGATCTTTTCTTTACCTTATAAATTCATATATATATATGTATACACGTGTACATATACACACATATTTTTGCTTTATTTTGTTTCTAGGCTCTATTCTGACCCATTGATCTGTCTCTTCTTGCATCACTATCACTGTTTTAAATGTTGCAGTTTTATAATACATTTTGATAGCATTACTCCTCTGCCTCAGACTTTGCTTAGCTATTTAACTTAGTTCACATTTCCAGACAAATATTGCAATCATTTTGTTAGAAGGGTCGGTTCCTCCCCAGAGACTACCTAAGTCACATGTTTTGGGTGCTGCCTAATTCATCTACTTTGATTACGAGACACACTCATCCTCATAATGAGAAATGCAAAAGCCCAAATATGCCAGACTCTAATTCTACCTTTAGCTTTCATACCGTCTTTGGCTCCTAAAGGGAAAAATCAAAAGAGGGAAAATATTTTGTCCACACTGAAGAGCTGAAATGAAAAGAATTGTTTACCATGCCAATCGTATTTTATTTATTTTATCACAGAACAATTGGAATGTAAATCAATCATTTTCAAAGTATATTTTTCCCTCTACCCAAAGTGGAATTACTCTCTAAAGTGACAAACATTAGTATTTTATCTATGTATTTATTTTCGTTTCATTACTAACATCATGGAATTACATTTACAAATGCTCTCAGCTTTGTCTCTGTATCTATGGAAACATGAATTACTTAGCCTTTTGGAGCCTCAGTTCCCTTATATGGAAAATGGCAATAATTACTCCATTGTGCAAAATGCCTGGCTCACAGTTGGCCATCAGTAAATGTTGGCTATCTTATATAATTATGACAGGTAGTAGAGCATTTTGGTTCAGAGCACAGCCTCTGGAGTCAGGCTTCTTTGGTTCAAATTTTATCTTCATCAGTAAATGATTTTCTGATCTTGGATAAGTTAGCTAACCTGAATGTGCCTTGATTTCTTCTGTAAAATGTGTTAATAAAATTACTTGCTTTATTGGCTGTAAGAAATGAGTTCACTCTGTCAATGAAGAGTCAAACTGCAAAATATTTGAAGAGTAGTATTCATATTCTGAGTAGTATATGAGTGGCCAATGGCCCATGACACAAGCCCCATGAGAACCTAAGAACATGTGCCCAAGGTGGTTGGGCTACAGCTTGGTTTTATACATTTTAAGGAGACTTATCAATTAATACATGTAAGACGTACATCGGTTCTATCTGGAAAAGTGGGGACATCTGGCTGCAGGGGCAGAGGTGAGGGGGTTGCTTCTAAGTCATAGACGGATTCAAAGATTTTCTGATTGCCAGTTGGTTGAAAGAGTTATTATCTAAAGACCTGGAGTCAATATAAAGGAATGTCTAGGTTACTATAAGGGATTGTGGAGACCAAGGTTTTGTCATGTAGATGGAGCCTCCAGGTAGCAGGCTTCAGAGAGAATAAATTGTAAATGTTTCTTATCAAACTTGAAGAGTCTGCTCTATCAATCTTTTTTTTTTTTTTTTTTTGACAGAGTTTCGCTCTTGTCTCCCAGGCTGAAGTGCAGTGGCACAATCTTGGCTCACTGCAACCTCTGCCTCCGGGTTCAAGTGATTCTCCTGCCTCAGCCTCCCAAGTAGCTGGGATTACAGGCATGCTCCACCTGTAATCCAGCTACCTGGGAGGATTACAGGCATACTCCACCAGCTAATTTTTTGTATTTAGAAGAGATGGGATTTCACCATGTTGGTTAGGCTGGTCTCGAACTCCTGACCGCAGGTAATCCACCTGCCTTGGACTCCCAAAGTGCTGGGATTACAGGCGTGAGCCATTGCGCCTGGCCTCTATCAGTCTTAAGGTCTCTGTGTTGATATTAATGCTGGTCAGCTGTGCCTGAATTCCAAAACGGAGAAGGGTATAACGAAGCATGTCTGACATCCACTTCCCGTCATGGCCCCAACTAGTTTTTCAACTTAACTCTGGAATGCACTTTGCCACGGGGAGGGCCCATCAGTTGGTTGAGGGGTTAGAATTTTATTTTTGGTTTACAACTCCATAAAACATGTAGAAGAGTTTCTGGCACATATGAGGCACTCAATTAATTTTAGCTATTCTTGTTGACAGTATCCTTGGTGATGGTGTTATTGATGATCTTAATCCTTATTATTTGGGCAACGACGTAATCAAGAACATATTACCTCACAGCGCCATCTAGTGCTTATTTTGGAAAATGCCAAATCCCTTTCCCTTGAACAACAGTCATTTGGTGAGGAGAATTTTTAAAATTCCAATTTTAGGAATACAAAAGGAGTTTGGAAATACCATGATTTCAAATTTTCTCCAGCCCATCTGGGCTTGTATTTATAAATGTCAGGGCTCTTGGTTGCAAATGGCAGAAACTGACTCTGGCTGAATTTAGCAAATTATTGGGCATTTCACAGAATCAACAGAAAGGAAGGTAAACCAGGATAAAGAAATGGTCAGGAATCATGGGCGGACCCCAGTCAAGATTTGCCATAGGACCAGCTTGGTTGGTATGTCACTCCTGACAACAACCACCTTCACCACCTCTACACACCACCACCACAAAACACTGCTACATCTGGACTCCACTGATTTGACATTCTGGTGTGCTAGATGCAGTTTCTATGAATGAATTCAAAATGGCCACTTTTTGTATAAACCTCTCAAGATCCAAAGTCTTCAGTAAGAGCCTGGATTTCCATTGGGCTTCCTAACCACTCAGGGCTTGTGGAGAGGGAATATGTGCTTCCCTTAGTTTCCACAGTAGGAGGCCTCAGCCTTGTTTTCCAGGCTCACAATGGAGGAATACCTCAAAAAAGAAGAGAGTTTGGACATCTACCTCAAGTAGGGTTGCTGGATAAAATACAGGGTACACAGTTAAGTTGGAATATCAGAAAAACAATGAACACATTTTTAGTATGAGCATGCCAATATTGCATGCAGCATACTTATAGCAAAAACTTGGAAAGATGAAAATGCCCGGTTTAAGTGTGGAGGGCACAATGAGACGAGCACTCTTGCATATTACCGGTTGGTATGCCTATTAATATATTCAAGTGGATTAAAAATATTCACAACTACTAACCCTCAAATACTGTTTTTAGAAATCTTCATAGCCTGTGACCCAATAGTTGAATTTTAAGGAGTGTATCCTAAGAAAATTATCAAAAATAGGCAAAATAATTTGTATGCAGAGTGCTCATTGCAGTTGCTGTTCATAAAGAAAACTTGGAAATAAATCTAAATATGCAAGATAGGAGAATGGCCAAATAAATTGTGGTAAATACATATGATAGCATCCTATACAGTCATTAAAAATATGTTCATGAAGAATTCTAGATACGTGAAAACTGACAAGGAAATGTTCAGAGATAAGAGCAGGGCAGATAATAGCACGTACAACTCACTAACTGTAATCTTAGGCTACTTAACCTCTCTCTATCTCAGTTTACTCCTCTGTGAAATGGTATAGTAATAGTAATAAGAATGGAACTTGGAATAGTGTTATGTGTTGGCTGGAGTGTGTGTGTGTGTGTGTGTGTGTGTGTGTATGTTTGAGGAGGGGACAGAGGAGAAAGAAATGGTAGTCAAGGGACTTTTGCAATAATTGTAGCAACCTAAGTCAGTGTTTCCATGTCTCAGTCTCTAGTTTCATGGTTGTTGAGAGTCAGTTTATGGTGGCAGTGGTAGTGGCTCAGCTTCACTGGGCTGCAGCTATGGTGTTCTATTCCTTTGTTTTGTTTTCTTTTAATTCATCATTGTCTTTATTTTATAGTAGGAAAACTAAGGCATTTCATGAAAAAGGAAGTCAATTGTACAATGTATAATACAGTCAAAGATCTTGACACAGAACTGGTGTCTTAACTATCATTTTTCACCTTTAATCAATAAACATTATTCCTCTTTAAAGACAATGAAAAATTACTCATGTTAAATATAGAAAAAATAAACATCATTAATTAAACACTACATCTGTAACCTCTTTACATTCATTAACACTTAGGAGTAAAAACAATAAAGATTTTTGTTATGGCTTCGTGTTTCTTTAAAATATTAACTAAAATAGATTTCTAATTTGGGAAATATGACTAATGCCATTTGGTTTTAAAAAGAATTGTATCTTAATCATCAAGCTAAAGACATAGCAACAAAACAATGACATGGTCACTTGAAGTGTGTCTCAGTCTAATTTTCACCATCTAATAAGACACCCTTAAAGTAATTCCAACAGAAAGTCTAAGAAATTCATCGATCAACTTCCAAAGCACATCAGGGAAGATGCTAAAACAGTGGACATTGAGAACAACAGCAGCAGAACATCTTATTTAAACTTTTGAGATAATAAAACAATACAGAAGTGGGAACCCTTGTGAATTTTTTTTTCTTGTTTTGGTTAACAAGATCATTAATACTTTACAAACTTCATACATGTCGCACACTGTAAGGTTTAAAGAATAAAATAAGGGCTTTTCTGCCCTTGGACGCCGCTGAAGAAGCATCCTTAAAGTCTCTCTTTTCCCTGCCCTCATGTCTAAGTCAGAGTCTCCTAAAGAGCCCAACCGGCAGAGGAAGCTTTTCATTGGAGTGTTGAGCTTTGAAACAACCAATGAGAGCCTGAGGAGTCATTTTGAGCCATGGGGAATGCTCCTGGATGGTGTGGTAATGAGAGTTCCAAACACCAAGCACTCCAGGGTCTTTGGGTTTTTCGCATATGCCACTGTGGAGGAGGTAGATGCAGCCATGAATGCAAGGCCACACAAGGTGGATGGAAGAGTTGTGGAACCAAAGAGAGTTGTCTCAAGAGAAGATTCTCAAAGACCAGGTGCCCACTTAACTGTGAAAAATGTATTTGTTGGTGGCATTAAAGAAGACACTGAAGAACATCATCACCTAATAGATTATTTTGAACAGTATGGAAAAATCGAAGTGACTGAAATCATGACTGACCGAGGCAGTGGCAAGAAAAGGGGCTTTGCCTTTGTAACCTTTGACGACCATGACTCCGTGGATAAGCTTGTGGTTCAGAAATACCATGCTGTGAATGGCCACAACTGTGAAGTTAGGAAAGTCCTGTCAAAGCAAGAGATGGCGAGTGCTTCATCCAGCCAAAGAGGACGAAGTGGTTCTGGAAACTTTGGTGGTGGTCGTGGAGGTGGTTTTGGTGGGAATGACAACTTTAGTCGTGGAAGAAACTTCAGTGGTCATGGTGGCTTTGGTGGCAGCCATGGTGGTGGTGGATATGATGGCAGTGGGGATGAGTATAATGGATTTGGTAATGATGGAAGCAATTTTGCAGGTGGTGGAAGCTACATTGATTTTGACAATTACAACAATCAGTCTTCAAATTTTGGACCCATGAAGGGAGGAAATTTTGGAGGCAGAAGCTCTGGCCCCTATGATGGTGGAGGCCAATACTTTGCCAAACTATGAAACCAAGGTGGCTATGGCGGTTCCAGTAGCAGCAGTAGCTATGGCAGTGGCAGAAGATTTTAATTAGGAAACAGAGCTTAGCAGAAGAGGAGAGCCAGAGAAGTGACAGGGAAGCTACAGGTTACAACAGATTTGTGAACTCAGCCAAGCACAGTGGTGGCAGGGCCTAGCTGCTACCAAGAAGACATGTTTTAGACAAATACTCATGAATATGGGAAAAAACTCGAGAACTGTATTTGTGATTAATTGTATAACAGGTTATTTTAGTTTCTGTTCTGTGGAAAGTGTAAAGCATTCTAACAAAGGGTTTTAATGTAGATTTTTTTTTTTGCACCCATGCTGTTGATTGCTAATTATAATAGTCTTATCGTGATGCTGAATAAATGTCTTTTAAAAAAATAAATAAAACAAGCAAGAGAGCTCCCTGAAATAAGAAACACTGCATTATAAATTTTTTTTTTTTTTTTTTTTTTGAGATGGAATCTCCCTCTGTGGCCCAGGCTGGAGTGCAGTGGTGCAATCTCGGCTCACTGCAACCTCAGTCTCGCGGATTCAAGCGATTCTCCTGCCTCGGCCTCCCAAGTAGCTGGGATTACAGGCGTGCGCCACGACGCCCCACTTATTTCTGTATTTTTAGTAGAGATGGGGTTTCACCATGTTGGCCAGGGTGGTCTGGAACTCTTGACTTCAAGTGATCCACCCGCCTCGGCCTCCCAAAGTGCTAGGATTACAGGCGTGAGCCACCGCGCCCGGCCGTATAACTTTTATAGGCACACACTTCCTTAAGTTTCAAGCAAGTTTAAATTCAACCCTTGTTATTCACGAGGACTTCAGGTAGGCCAGTTTACAAACAAGCATGAGCACCCTACAAATAACTCTTACTACAGAGCTCTTAGGATAAACGTGTTTGCACTTTGAACAGTCACGTGAGTATCGTAAAGCTGGCGATTGTATTATTACTATCCAGTGAAATTGCTTGCCTTCCTTCATGATTTCTTCAGTCTTTTTTTCAGCAGAGAAAAGATTTTCTAAAAAGTCTGAATCTTCTAAGTATAGCTCATCACTGGTAAAAGCTAGAGCATCCCATCAGCAGTTAACAAGGTGATCGACAGCCACCTTTCCAGTCCTTCTAATGCCAGATCCAAACAAAATTTGTGCAAATCATAGAGGCAAAGTTTTCAAGTCTTCTCATTTCGTAGAACTGTGGGGGTGCCAGCCAAATTTCTTTTGATAAGAAACTTTCAGTTGCCTTTGATGGCGATGACCAGTGACAGCCCACCACCTCCGCCAAGTCGGGGTAGACTGGCAGCGGCTCGCGCAGGCAGCATAGGAAGAAGGAAGCTTCGAAGAGGCGAGTTGCGCCACGCGAGAAAGGGGTGAGCCAGACGCTCCAGTGGTGCAGCGCCCAGATGTCGGGCGTGCAGCCGAGGTGCGCTCACAGCCGCAGGAAGTGGCGCGAGGCCTGGGCGCAAGCGGGCGCAGCAGGCGGCCAGGCCCGGCTGCAGCTCGAGGGCGAGGCCGGGCTCTGGCGCAGGACTCGGGCTGGGAGGTCCTGGGCGTTGGTCTATTCTTGAAGCCAATCATCCTAGCGGAGGCTTCCTGATGACCCACTTTTCTGTCTGAGGGCAGAGGTCACAGTACCCCAATGGGCCTGTTTAGTGATAGAGTCCTGGTAGTCATTCCTACAGCCCCAGGCTATAGCCTGTTCTTCCAACCCTTTCACTGATTTTTGTAAGCTCTTAATTCCCTGTGTCCCATCCTTTTCTCCTCTAAATAACTAAGCAGTTTCTGTTTCTCACCACTGTACAGCGTCTAATACAAGGATGAAATTAAAAGTTATGTTTCGGACATGTAAATATTCTGATACCTATTGATGTCAAGTATGCCTAATGTATACAGGATCTGGAGTCCAGGGGTAAGACCAGGGTAAAAAGTTTATTTTATGCTTTTTTCTCCTTCCTTTTGTCTTTCATAGTTTAAATATGTTTAAAGTTTAAATATGTGAGTCTTAAGTATATGAAAAACATTAGGACTGAATGAAATCACCTGAGCAGAGAATGAGACCAGATGCTGGCCCAGGACGTATCTGGGGCACTCCAACATTTAAAAGTCTGGCAAAGGAGGTGTAAATGGTATGGGCAGCTGAGAATGAGTAGTGAATAAGAAAGGAGAAAAACCATCAAAGGATGTGGGATGTATCTCAGAAACTAAGTAAGGAAAGTATTTCAGGGTGTAGTGATCAACTCCATCAAATGTTGTACTCTGTGTACAAAGTGCTCTGAGCGTACTTTGAGAGACAGAGTCCAAAGATAAAGTTACAAAAATGTCCATGGAATCAGAACATAAATAAGAATGGCATTGAAGGAGTGATGCAGACAAAAGCCCAGTAGAGTAAGTGGAAGAGAGAATGGGAGGCAAGGATGTGGAGATGATACATATAGACAACCCTTTGTAGAAGTTTGGATACACAGGGAACAGAAAATGCAGGGGAGTAGCTACTAGGAAGATGTGGGGTTAGGGAAAGGTTTTTGGTTTTGGTTTTGGTTTTGGTTTTTTTGTTTGTTTGTTTTTGTTTTGTTATGTTTTTTTGAAACAGGGTTTCTCTCCCATCGCCCAGGCTGTAGTGCAGTGGTACACTCTTGCTTCACTATAACCTCCACCTACCAGGCTCAAGCAATCCTCCTGCCTCAGCCTCCCAAGTAGCTGGGATTACAGGCATGTGCCACCACACCCAGCTAATTTTTGTATTTTTAGTAGAGAACAGGCTTTCACCATGTTGGCCAGGCTGGTCTCAAATTCCTGACCTCAAGTGATCTGCCTGTCTCGGCCTCCCAAAGTGCGGGGATTACAGGCATGAGCCACGGCGCCTGGCCCGGGGGAAGGTGTCTTAAAAGAGAAGAAACACTAAAGCATGTTTATCTGCTCATAAGTACGATCAAGGAGAGAAGAAGATAAACTATGGGAGCCAGGGTTTTGAGAATTAGGCAAATAGATGCAGAGTTCAAGGGGAAGGCCCTTGATAGGAGTAAAGACACTCTCTGCACAGTACCGAGAAGGAATACAGAGAATACAGCTGCAGGTAGGGTTTGGTGGGTTTGGTGGCAGGGAGATGACAGTTTACATCTAATTGTTTCTATTTTCTTAAAGAAATGAAATGCAATATCATCAGCTGAAAGCAAGAATAGAGAGGTGGGCTCTTCCTCATTCATTATCCCCTGGTAGCCACTGACCTGCTTTCTGTCACTATATGTTAGATGGTATTTTCTGGGCATTTACATAGAGAGAATCATATACTTTTTGTCCCAAATTATTTCATGTTTAATATGTTGTTGCGGATGTTTTAACGTTGTTGTGGATGTTATTGTCTCTTTCTTCATTTTGATTTCTGATTGTTCGTTGCTATTGAATATTTAGAATATAGAAATAAAATTGGTATTTATATGTCAATCTTGTATCCTTTAGCCTTGCTAACTTACTCATTCGTTCTAGTAGCTTATTTGTAGAATTTGTTGGATTTTCTACATAGATGATCATGTCATCTGTGAATAAAACAGTTTTGATTCTTTTCCAAAGTTTTTTTTCAAGGGAGACCAGCAAGTATAGTACTGTGCTTTCTACTACGATGTTCAGTTGTTTATGTGCAGTTAGGAAATGGGGGAACAGCAGGGTTTAATCGGAGCTGGCCTTTTGAAAAGGTCTAGTGTATGACCAAGAGAGGGTGGCTAATGTGGGGTAGAGGAAAAAGTGTTGGAGGTGAAGAAAGTCAAGGAAGTGGAAGGTCATGGTGTGGGATGGGTCATCCACATTGATGTTAAAGTCACTAAAAATGATGGACCAGCATCAGCTTGGGGAGGACAACTGAGTCTGGAGGGAAAGACTTCCTCAATAGAATTTACACCCTCCTGGGGAGTCATGGGTGCGGGTGTGCGGACCAGGACATGGATCCTGGACACTCTGGGACACTGCGTCCCAACCACAATATGTGCCTAGGCTGGGGCATGTAGCTGATCCACACTCCACTCCTCCCCACCCTCAGAGACCTTTGAACCGAACTCTCGGTTCAGCTCAAAGCTCTCAATAACCTAGAGACTTTTTGGAAACAAGGTCCTCTCTACTTTCTTCCTGGCATATGTAAAGCTCAGATCTCCTTGTCACAAAGCCCTGGCCATCCTCTGTGGCAAGAGTAAGAGAGAGAAAGATAAATTTTGTTTAGCGATGAACTTATATAGCAGAAAAAACAGAAGACAATTCATTTTCAATTAGATTATCTTACCACACACAAAAAAAAAACCAAGGAAAGGATAATTCCCACGTATTAACTCTAGATATTTCTGATTGGTGGGAAAGTGGGATCGTGCCTGTATACATGCAAAGGGATGGAGTGTGTGTGTGTGTGTGTGTGTGTGTGTGTGGTGTGGGTCACATACCAGCACAAGGAAATAGGGGAATGTCTTTGACACCTTACTGCCTGCCACTTCTTTAATGGTCTCTCCTATTTTATTTAAGTCTCCTGTCCCAGGGCTACTCATACCCTCATATTTTCCTCAGGCTAAAGAGGATGTCCACTGTGTGTTCTATGGAGCAAAATTCTCTCTACTTCCATCCCTATTCACCAGTTAGCTCTCTTTGAGGTTACAATGGATACGAAAGGGTTAATAAGATTCGAAAGAACATACTATTGCTTTAGCAAACCACTGTGTTTCCTAGGCAACATAATGCCTGTATTTCTCCTGTTTCTTCCTGTTTCCAAAAGCCCCTATGGAGGGAATGGTAAAAATATTAGCCTTGGCCAATACTCAAGCCCTTGCTGTTTCCCCTCTCTCCCCATTCTGTTCCCCTCACAGCTGACCTTGCCTCCTGCTTCATGGAAAACATTGAAACTGTCAGGTTTGAATTCCCTCTCCCTCTCCTCTTAAAGGAGAAGCTATGATCCTTCCACCTGTTCTTTCGATTTCATCCTCTCTTGTCTCATTCCATGCCACAGGGTTGATTAATACCCA